AATACATTATATAATGTCGATGAAAATGAAGATACTGAAATTGGAAGAATTGCTGAACATGATCATGCTTACGTCTGTAGTCCTGACCATTTGTCCAAGTTTGCTGAGCAGGTTGTAATTTATGTTGCAGCTTTTGTAAGTAGAAAACTTGCACTTGTTATTAAGTGTGAAACATTTCTGAGTGCCCTCTTTGATTGTAACGAAAATCTTTTAGGCAGTTTTATTGACTTTAAAGATAAAGGCGACCTATGTTATCCTTCAAAGGACGTTCTTTTTATTTGCCTGGAAACAGATCATGTTTTAAAACAGGACTTTATAGTACAAGGTTTAAAAATTAATATGACAAAATATCTATGAAGGTATTACAAAAATGTCACAATTATGCTTTTAAAACGGTTAAATATCATAATATGAATATATTAGAAGACCATGTTATATTTTTAATAAAGTCAATAATAATGCAATATTGTACCATACGTATAAAATATGCTATTAATAATATAACCTACAGAAAAAAATTCGCAGTCACTTTACAAAACTAATTCAGTTTAAGGGACAATAGTCTTGAATAATAATAATAATAATATTTATTCAGTCACTTCTTACAAATGACAAATGAGGAAACATAAGTCAGATGACACATGACAAGTACACTAAAAGGACAAAATAAATATAGAGAAGCCCACAAAAGTAAACTTGTGCGTGGGCTGAACAATGGTTTTTAATTATTTGTCAAATTATGAACAGAGCATAACAGCAATTTTGTTTGGTATTTCGTCTGGAGAATATAGTAGAATAATATATAATATATAATATATATATAATAATAATTCAGAAGACTGAACTCGAATGCTTAATGTTGAAACCAGTAAATATTTTTCCTATCAATTATTAGGTGTATCTTTTCACGTGGCGTAATTAATAACCATTTTTGTATCGTCTTTTTTAGTAGCTTCAATGAATTAATTCTTCTTATATGCAGAGGAATTTCAGATATCACAATAGGAATTATGTAAGTGAAACATCTCTGACCAATTGTTTTATGACATTTAGGTATTACCCACATACCTAAAGAATATATACTGCTAAAAGTCTGCCGCACATTATTATTGCGCATGCAATAAAAGGAGATAATATATTACGCCATTTTGATCTACACATGTCACTGGTATTGGTTTGGTTTTGTTTTATTTATGATCCTCTATAGTTTGGTTATAATTTACGTTATTGTTTTGTGTTGTGTGTTTGGAAGGTAATTACCTAATTGCTTTTGTGATAAATGATAATTTAGTGTTGTGACCAGAATCTAAAATATCATTCCATCGGTAAGCCTTATTATCATATAGGTATAGACAAGTTTTAATATCTACGTTTTTTTTTAGATTTCCAAGAGATAGCATAAAATTCAATCGTTGGCTGCAGGCGATCGGAAGAAATGATGAAAATATTTTATGGACTTCTAGTTTATTTATATGTTCAGACCATTTCAGAGCAGAAGATATAATAGTCGATGCGAAAGGCAGACACTGTCTTAAATGGTCAGCAGTACCTTCCTTGCATTCTGCTGATGAAACAAAGAGCCGTATTGGTTTTGACTTGAATATTTAAGTTCCATCTACATCTCAGTCCAGTCCAGATGTGCTAGTAAAATCTGGTGAATTTTTACAGCCATCATCTCCTAGTAAAAGAAAAATTACTGATGGATCAAGTTCGGAATCCTCCTCTATTCCGTCCCCCGCATCTCAAATTTCAGAAATAAAAATATCGGGCTCTGGAAGTGATTCAAGTACATCTAGAAAAAGGAAACGCTTCAAATTAGAACACTGTTACGCGTAAGTATTATTAATTTAAATAAAAAATTATCTCATTTCATTATTTAGCCTACACAGTTTCTCAAGTGACTTGATCTTTTTTCTAATGAAGTAGTTGAAGTAAGACTGGTTTTCATTGTCAGTGTTTTATATATTTTTTAATATCTATATTTAATATGAGAATTTTTTATATTCATCTCCTTTTCACACAAAAGCCACAACTGTAATAAAGTAAATAAATTATTGTCAAAATAATTTATAAATTTTAAATTTCTTTTGAGATAAGGCAATCCATTATTATTATTATTATACATAAATTAAGTGCCTAGGA